TAATTTATTTATTTATTTGCGTGTGGACTTAGCCAAAAAAATATGTGTGAAACTCTTGACCCTATTTTTCTTCCTTCATCTGATTGGCCAATGTCATGTCAATCACAAATTTAACAATCCAATCAGAGAACCTCTGATTGGACCTAAAACCTGATTTGCAAGTACAAAATATTTATGTCCACAATTTGAGCGCATAAAGTCCCATCTACTGAAAAATAGGCGAGCTTTGATGCGTAGCTTTGTAAGCGTGAGTACACATGATTTTAGGTTTTCTGGTGTCTGCAGAGATTTGAGCTGTTCAGGAGTCGTTCAAAGGGTCTTTGAGGCACTTACTCTCGCAGGTGTAGACCACCTCCAGGTACTTGTAGGTGCCTGGACACGGGTCTCCAAACATAGAGTTCCTTACTTTGATGGAACAGCTGTTTCTGCCGTTACAGCTGTGAATGTAAATGAGAGTGAGTGAGCAGAGGCTCTAAATACTCGAGTCATCAGAGAGAAAGTGTAAAGAGTCTGTACCTCTCGGCTACTTTGCTGGTGGGAATTGAGCACTGGGTGTTACTGAGCTGAGCGGGAGGACGTTTGTAAGAGCACGTGGTCGAGTCATCGCGGCCGTATTCAGCCGACAGGACGACTATAACGTGTCCTTCATCTGAAGAACAATTCACACTGTTAAACTATCAGCCTGTTATTATTGATATATCAGTTCTTTTTCACTTGCATGTTTTATTTTTATTGCATGAAATCACCAGTTTTAAACGATGAATAGAAAAGAAGCAACTTTACCACAATGAAGGTTTGCATAAGAATGTTCACATGTGATACTGTGGACTGAAAAAGAAACAAGTTTCCAAATGCAGATTAATCTCTCGAGCACAGATTTGTCTTTGACCATATTTTGAAGGTATCAAAGCCTCAAGGCACTTACACGGACAGTCGTAGGCCACCTCCAGGTACTTGTAGGTGCCTGGACACGGGTCTCCAAACACTGAGTTGCTCGCTTCGATAATGCAGCTCCTTTTCCCGTTACAGCTGTGAAAGCGGACGATGAGTGAGTCGGCCGAGGCTGGAAATACATCTGAGTGAAGCTGTAAGGCTGAGCAAAGATCGAGCCTCTGTACCTGTCAGCTACTTTAGACGTGGGATTGATGCATCGGGCATTCTGGATCTCACATTCTGGACGCTGGTAAGAGCACGTGGTCGTATCGCGGCGTCCGTAATTAGCCCAGTGGACGGCGATAACGTGTCCGTCATCTGAGGAAGTGTTCATGGAGTTAAACTATAACTGTGTTTGGGTTTCTATCGAACCAATCCACCAACGATACAAAAGTATGACGTGTGTTCTCACCACAATGAAGGTTTGCCTGAGACCCTTCACATGCTACGGTGTGCACTGATGAGGAAGCAAATTAGAAACTAAAAATTCATCTACAGATTTCATCCCTGTGATTCAAAAATCCACTCAAAACATGTTCGTAGGGACCAAAGCTCTGCAGCAAAGTGTCCCGAGGGCACGTTGGAGCTCTGTTACGACTCTGAGGTACTTACGCTCACAGTCGTAGGCCACCTCCAGGTACTTGTAGGTGCCTGGACACGGGTCTCCAAACACTGAGTTGCTCGCTTCAATAATGCAGCTGCTTTTCCCGTTACAGCTGTGAAAGCAGGTGAGTGAGTCAACAGAGGCTTTACATACTTTGTCAGGAAACATCTAAACCAGTGTGCACAGTTTGGGAAACCAGGGTTAACCTGTAACCTGGGAAGAGAAACATTTAGCACATCATCTGTGTGGTGCAGTGGGACGAGGTGACTGCTGATAGAAGCAGCAGGATGAACTGTGAAGTGTTCAGTCACATCTGCGTCGGGCTGAGGGAAGAACGAGCCTCGGTACCTGTCGGCGACTTTAGCGGTGGGATTGGGGCAATGGGCGTTTTGGATCTCGTGGGTTGGACGATGCTGAGAGCATGTGGTCGTATCGCGGCGCCCGTAGTCAGCCCAGTACACGACTATAGCCTCTCCTTCATCTGAGGAAGAGTTCACCGTGTTAAATCAGCACCATGTTTGTACATCAATGAAACAAATCCACCTGAATCGCAGAGGAACTGCCCCACTCACCACACCGAAGGTTTGCGTTGGATCCTTCACACGCTGTGCTGTGGACTGAAACAGAAACACGGCGTCACAAACTGTAACAACTCACGGGCAGAGTTTGGAAGTATTCAGATACAGACCTGCTGGGAAGCAGGCGAAGGTGGTGTCCAGGTATTTGCAGGCGCCGGGAACAGGAGTACCAAAGATCTGGATGTCTATGTCACACGTTTTCTTTCCGTCACAGCTGTGGGGAGAGATGGAGCTCACTGACGTGATCGTGTTATTGTTTCAAATGTTTGTTACCGACAGTGGTCACCTCTTCTTGATGGCCTTCAGTTTGTGGTGCTGAGAGCAGTGTTCTTCATCTCCACATGTGTGCTCGACTGACTCCACAACGATCACGCCGCTCTCTGTTTCACGCAATATGACACAAAAGCAGAGATTAGAGAGGTTCAGAGCAGAGATGGATGGATTTTACAATCGCAGGTGTCGCCCCCAGCTGGACATGAAAAGAATTTAGTCTTAGGGTTCTTTAGTGTTGGCTTTTAAATCTATAGCCATCATTTACATACAGTCTGTGTCTGCCTTACCACAGCACAGGTGCTGGACCAGGTGGCCGTCGCAGGTGATCACTCTGGTGGTGGATATGGCAGTCGCAGTGGACGGGACAAAACGTTTGGCCCGGGTTACACCTGGAGGGAAAAATAAAGAGTTAAAAAAGCAGAGTGGGTATGAGCTCACAGCTGATGGTGTGTGGGGGGGGTCAGCCGACGGCTTCTGTCTGCTGTTTTGACTCTGCGATGAGACTCAAGGACAGCCTGGCTGTTTGCTGGGAGCAGAGACTAAACGTCTGACCTTATCTGAGGCTCTCTCTCCTTCACTGATTCTTTTATCTTTATTTTGTGCTCTTCGTCTCCTCCTGCTGAACAGTTAGCGCCGCCATGGAGTCAGCTGACTGACGCAGAGTCACAGCACAAACCGACGGTCTGACGGCTTTTCTGTCTCTGAAAGCTGCAACAGTCACGTGACGAGGTGAGAGTGACGGCGTTGAATCGAGGCAGACGCGAGTGTGATTTAGAGGGGGGGGTAGTGGGCAGGTGTTCCCGCCGTGTTTGTGGTAAATGAAACTTTTCCACAGATAATTTAATGTTGATTGGATCTGTGTTAAAATTCAAATAGGAGCTTAAATCTTCTAAGAGTTTCTGTAAGTGTCTGACCTTTGACCTTTGATGCTGTCTAAGAGCGTGCATCTGCTCATGTGGACTGAAAAACACATTAATCTCACAGTTTATTCAAATCTGCCAGATTTATATCCCCACTACTTTCCAAATCCCACGATGAGCCAGGCCTGCAGCTCAGGGGCAGAGAAGTAAAGGTGAGGATCATTTTTAAAAATGTCCATTAATGAGAATAAACCAGGTAACAGAGAAGCACAAAAACAGACTTTTACCTGAACTCGCGAGTAAACATGTTGCTGCCAGCACTGAAAAACAAGAAGGAAACCTGAGTGTTAGACTGAGTTTGGTTCGTCTCCAAACTCACACATGAAATGATATCGAATGAAAAAAGGAGAAAACTGCAGTAAAAAGTCAGCGACCCCGATCATATTTGAATTCGCTGTCAGTGCAGCTCAGCATCTGCATACAAATGATTTTATCAACAACATGATGTCAGAGCTCCTTCCAATAAACATTTAGATTAAAGATGTTTGTCTCTTGTAAGAATGTTGGAAACATTTGAAGCTTTTTAATAAAATGATTTCTATTCAATGACTTTGAATTATTTAACAGCAGAATTGTATTCCCATCCTGCATAAACCATTTCTTACCCTTTGATTATTTTCAGGCAGCACATGAACCCTGATCGTCTGATCAATAAACGTGTGTATCTACAGAGCTGTTTGATTATTTGCTCTATGAAAGTAGAATCTGCAGCAAAGCGAGCACACATGCATTTCTGCATGAAGGATTATCAGTGTGTGCTACTCACACAGCGTGTTGCTGAGTCCGGAGCAGAGCATCGTGTTCGGAGGTCTGGTTGTCGGTGGCGAGCTGAGCCGATGGCGGGTCGGACGGAGACCTTGGTGTATTTACGCCGTTTAGCTGAGAACTTTTACCGACGTGCAAAACAAGCAGCCAATGGAAAAATGAGAATCTGATGCTTATCAGGTGCAGCAGAGCCAAGGAGAAAACTAAACTGCTATCAATAAGAAACGATTATAGAAGCCAATCGCAGCTCGCCCAGTGTCAGCCGGGATCGGCTCAAGGCCCCCCCACGACCCTGAACTGGATCGTGGCTCGAGAAGATGGAGCCACAACACAAAACAGCCTTTTCTTTCTCAGACTGAGATGTTGAATCGGTTAAAGAAGGAAATCCTTTTAAAAGCTGCATAAATGCACCTCGGACTGTGGGACACCCCCAGCATTCAGATCATCACAGGTGGTTAAAAGGCCTTCGGTCAACAAGCTGTGATCATCAGTTTAACCATGACTGTTGTACAGTTTCATTAACCATCAGCGTTTATTCAGAATTATCACGATGTGACAGAAAAGAGACGTCGTGACCGCTGGCAGCTCGTCCTTCACGCGGAGCTTTGGTCATCGTCTCTGAAACACTCGGTTCAGCCGCAGTGTTTCACAGTCTTAACATACTGACACAAACACGAGCGCACGTTCACGTGCAGAAGTGAAGGACACGATAATCAAGCATAAACTAAAACAAGGTGGTTTTCACAGAATCACCCCGACGGGCCGAGTGAGGCCGTTCCACAGTCCAGGAGCTAAAAGTCAAACTGTGGTCACCTCTGGATTTAAAATAAGAGTGTGGAGCAGGTGAAAGGCCCACGTCCAATCAGCAACAAGCGCTTAAATAAAGGCTCCGGCAGTGTTTGGATGGAGAACAGCAGCTGAGGTTATCTGTGAAACAGCTGCATGAACACTGTGACAGACGGATATCACATCCTGCTGTGAAAACACGTATCTGTGTGTCTCGACCGCTATCACTGTGTGTTTGTGTGAAAGCTAGCAGCAAACCTCTGAATCATCATCAGGCTCCTCGGCGCTCTGCAGACACAAGGAGCCCGGCACAAAGTGTTACAGAGTGACACGTTTGCAATTTCATTACATAAAAACCAAATGAATTCATCAGACAGCTGGAATAATGTGTCAGCAGCTCTGTTAAAAAGCGCAGAACTGAAAGAGATTCATAAGTTTCTCAAAGGAAGTCAATAAAACGAGGAAAGAGCCGAGCTGCTGTGTAACGGTGGAAGAAGTGCTGAGGAGGACGATCTACGTCAGGGGCGTCAAACATAAGGTCTGGGGGCCAAAATTAGACGGGCGACTACTCCACCCACTGGATGGCTTTGGGAAATGTGATGGATGGGATACATTTTGCACTTTTGTGTTTCCATAAGTTTATAAGTTTCCCCCGCGGCCCTTCATGCTGCACCAGAGTAATAAAATCACAATTACTGAGAGTTTTTCCTCTGTAAACTATAGAAATGTCTGTTTCTTACAGCGGCTCCAACAACATTTTCTGTGAACAGAAACTTTGTTTAATAATTACAGGACAGTCTGGACAGACAGCTCCCAGAACTTCCTCTGTAATCACACATTTATTTCTTACAGTCGTGCTGACAGACGTCTTTACTGCAGCAGCATTTCTTCATCATGTAGAAAAACTGAGACGCTGCTGAAACGTCTTTTTCTTATGTTAAGATATTTCAGGATTAAATGTAGAGTTAAACTTGTTTAACTGACACAAAGACGACTTTCACTGGTCGATCAAAGCTGTATGTGGCCCACCATGTAAGATGACTTTGACATCTCTGATCCAGAAGGAAGTAATGAAATACAAATACTTTGTCAGTGTACTTTTACTCCCCACATTTGTACACACATTTCTGCACTTTCTACTGCTTACATGTTCAAAACAGACTCGTTACTTTTGCTTTGACACGTCTGAGGGGAGTTATATTCTCACAGTTCCCACAAGTGCAAACAGCAGTTAAAGTGCTGAAGTGGAACCTGCTGTGCTTTTTGAACTGGGGACGAACAGACGCGAGAACATAGCATGACACAGCACAGAGACAGGAACTATGAATAACAATGATATCAAAGGCTATTAATAATTCAGACACACAAAAAACTGGCTCACTGCAAATGTTGCATCAATTCACTGCGATATTTGCTTTTCTTTAGATTTAAAGTTAAGTTGTCAGCATCAATCAACGAGATCCCAGGATCAGAAGTACTGATGGGGTATTTATGTGTAGCCAAGTGAACTAATACTACGCATGGAAAGGGTTTAAAAAGAGGGGATTGTGTTTTTGACAGGTTGCCTGTTGTAGGGTTGTCATGGTGATGACTAGACCTCGCGTTTTGGGGGTATACTGTCCCTTTAAGAGCCGCCGTAAGCCAGTGGAATAGTTAAATTTTGCCGCGTCTGGCAGCACAAATGAACCAGCTGCTAGTTAACGAGAGACACCCGGAATGGCTAACCGAAGGTCGGACGGTCCTGATCCCCAAG